GGTGGGGGGGGGGGGGGGAGTCAGACGGAATTTTAAAGAAGAAACTCTCGAAGAGAATTTTAATTCGGACACTGTGTCTTGGCCCATTGCACCTTGCGAGAATGTTTTTTCAGCGATTTTTTTTTCTTTCCACGCCGAGCTTGACGCGCTTTCGCGGGTCGAAACTTAGGCGCGGTGCGTTGACACAGCCGCGAATCGAACTTTTCATCGCGAGAACCACGTATCTACAATGGAAACGCTGTGCAGTTATGCGGTTTTGTCAGGCATGGTTGAAGTATTCGTGAGGTTGCTGCCTCCGCAGCTTCGGCTGTCGCGTTCCGGAATCTCGTTCGGGTTCGATGCAGTGGCGTGGCGTGCTTTGCGATATATCGATTGATCGGCCATTTAAACCTATGGAAAAGTATCGATAAACAGGGTGTTCGCAGCGAACACCTTAAAATCGATTATTTACCCCAGCTTCAAATGGAGAAATATTGATAGATCGCGAAGCACGCCACGCCACTGGTTTGATGTTTGATTGGCCGCAGAAATCTCGGATCTCCACTCGCCTTTGCCAAGGACTGCCGACAGGACTCCGGCTTGGAGCAAGAATTCGACGAATTCCTCCCGAGGACGGGCCCTTGCCCTGCCCGTTGCCAAATTTATCCGTTAAATTGATCGATGAAGAGGATCAGAGTGAAAATACCGGATTAGCTTAAGATTACAGTGAAAATACAGAGTGGCGTGGTGTGAATGATCGATTATCGATATTTCCTCATTGTAGCTATGGTAAAGAATCGATTATTAAGGTGTTCGCTGCGAACACTCTGTTTATTGATCCTTTTCCATAGGTTTAAATGGCAGATCAATCTATATATCGCAAAGCACGCCACGCCACTGAGAGTGATCCGAGGTTGAACCGCCAGAATGCAGGAGCGCGATCCATTGACGGATCTAGCAAATTCACAACGTTTTTTTCTCCTTTAAACCCATGGAAATGTATCGATTCTCGGAGAGAGCTGTGCTCTGACAATAATCGATTTTTCAACACGGGTTTACATGGAGGAAAACCAGAGGTGCCAAATCGCTGGATGCGCTTCTGGTGCGTTCTAGGTCAAAATAAGTATTTTTTTCTACACTAAATGTGTTCACAAATTGTTTTTTAAGGGGGCTACAGCTTAAAATTCTGAAAAACAAATCGTTTTCCCTGCATTTTGGCAACAGTGACGTACCGAATTCATGAAAATCTGTATGCGCCGATATTTAGATACGAAGAAATATGAATTCAATGGGGAAATTAGAAAAATCGAAATCTTAGTCAAAAATGGGGTGTTGGGGGTAATGGACTTCTAAAGGTCAGGTATTTTGCCGTGGTTTGTTGCGAACACCCTGAACCCCCATTTTTAACGGACAAGGAGATTTCGATTATTTTTGATCGGTGAGGGGAGTTGGGCACAAGGCAGCCACACTGGAAAAAAAACACATTGGATCTAGAGTTCAGACTCTTAAAAACATCGACAAGAAAAAATACTCTTGATTCAATCGGATTTTTGCTTAAATCAAGAACTAAGCCTCTTAATTTGAGCGGATTTCCTTTTGATTTAAGCAAAAATCTGATTGAATCAATGGTATTTTTTCCTGTCAATGTTTTCATGAGTCTGGACTCTAAATCCAATGTTTTTTTTTTTCCTCCCAGTGCAGCGGGGCAACCCCCAGTGCATGCGTCAAAAAGGGTTGAGTCGTCCGCAAAACAGATTTTCTCCGAATGTTCCGCGCAGAAATATGTGCATTGATTTTCTTTTAAAATTATACGGGAAGAGCAGATTTTTTGGAATTCCGGAATCGTAATATATTTTTTTCGTAAATTAGCTGCTGATATACTCTTAGCATTTCAGGAATCGTACTTATAGGAAAGTTATTTTCTTCTTACGAATATTTCCTCTTTGATCACATGTTACGCTCGATCTAATTTTCATTATAAAAAAATTGACCGAACGTCCATGGAGAAACTTTTCCAACGCTCTCGAAAAGGAGATTGGGAAATATAGAATTTCCGCTAGCCCGGTAAAGAATCAGGTTACAGCTTCCGAAAGATGCCGCGCCGGTGTCGAGCGTGACTATGCATTTCGCACTCTCGACTGCATAGCGGCGTTGTCACATTTTACAGATTTCAGTCTATTTCAAAGGAAAAATCAATAAAAAATGAGAACGATTTACAGCGAATTCGGCAACCTTTCTGCACCGTTTCCTTTTTTCGCGCCCGATGATCTTGCCGAGGGCGAACGCACTCCACGCCGCCGGCCCCGGCTGTTCACATGAGTCTTGCACATGTTGCAATTTTGCCGAGCGCATCCGCTGCGATGTTGCCGGATTTTGCGCAAAATCCAATATTTGCGTAAATCGTATTTGTTTAATTGAAAAGGACACAAACATCCGGAAAGATTTTCCATTTCTTCGCTGATCTTTGATCAGTTTAAGCTTTCTACACCTCAAAAACACCGGGAAAAAAGGCTCTTGGATCCAAGATCCGGGCTCTTAAAAAATTTAACAAAAATTATTCTCATAATTCAATCGAATTTTCGCTTGAAACAAAACGAAATCGCTCCTAAATCAAGAGGCTTTAGCTCTCAATTCGAGAAAAATATCCGATTGAATCGAGAGTATTTTTTCTTGTCAAAGCTTTGAAGAGTCTGGACTCTGGATCCTAAAGACTTTCTTTTCAGCGTGGCCTAAATTTGCCGTCTCTCTTGTTGATATCAGGTAAATTTTCTTTTTTGATCGAGGAAGAAATTTCTTCTCGACGGTAAACTTAGATTGCCAAAATTAAGTCCTTGTTTACCATAATATGCCTATAGCAGGACTTTAAATAGGACCCTAACCCAATGTGCATAACCCGACCCAAAGAAATTTATATTTTAAGTGAGATATGAATCATACTCGCGGATAAAGTGTGATTACTAACTCTCGGTATAAAATATTCATTTTAGGACTTTTATTTGCTCAGAATTCACATGAGAAATTTGAAACTCAGAGATATATCGTCATGTTGTGTTATTACCTATTGAACCCTCGGACCTTCATAGGCGTGAGTATAGGGGGTTCCGGAGGGAAAGAGGGCTGTCCGGCTCAAAATGCTAACCCCTCAGAAAAGTTGCAAACTAATAGACCCCCGTGAAGGATATACAGAGGGACTTTTGGCCCTCTTCAACTTTTTTCCCGCCACGCATATGTGGACCCTAAGAGCTCCAAGAGACCTGAGTCGCAGACCAACTTTAAAAAGTGCCTCAGTTTCTCTGTGCTAATAAACGTATTGATACGGCAGTACTCTCCCTTAATAAGTGCTGCAGCACAAAGTAAAAAAAGTGGCACGCGCATTTTTAATGCACGACTAGGGCTCGAATAACCAGTGTTGCTACTGTCGCAAATAATTAGTAATTATCGAAAGGGAGCTAAGTGCTTTGGAAATAAGGAGTCTTTCCATTGGTTGGTTGACAGAACTCTCTCTCTTTCCATTAGAGACCGTTTAAATTAAGTTGCATCTGGTTTTTTTTTTCACGATTCAAGTTTCACTCGAAACCGACCGAACACTTGTTTCTTTTTCGTAATTTAATTTGCATCCATTCTCTCATTAACAGGGAGGAACCAACTGACGAAACGTATATCTCAGAAATAATCATATTTGCTTTCTGACAATTACAAGAAAACATTCCTATAAATCATTCGAATTAATATGACACTAAGAGTGTTCTTATGCGAAGAATATATTTAGGATTCTGCCGTCCATTTTTTTAACGAGTTGATTTTTTCCTTCCAAGAAAACTGGTACCGGATACCTCTCCCCCTAACGATCTCTAAATACACGCCTAAATTTGCATACTCGAGAAATAATAGTTATTGGTGAGCAAATTGAAGGAGCGTGATGTCTTAAACTAAAGTCCTGATAAGTCAAGGTGAAAATGAGATTACAAATTTCAAATATAATCGCACCTTTGTCGCCATGCGACAATGACTTAATTTTAATAAGTTTTCACTCATTCGAAAAGATGATTTCGTTGTACTGATTCATTTTTCTTTGTGTTGCACATCAATAATAATCAATCTGTGTTTTTCTCCTTTAGGATGCAGTGTTGGATTAAAACTTTCATCTGAGCGACAAACTCTCCTCACAGACTAGTCCGAAAACTGAACGCGTAAGTAGACATTTTAAATTTTTGTTAATTCCTCCTCTGAGAAGATTATATACTTAAAAAGTAAAAACTTAGTGGCATTCTGCTCTGTAATGTGTTTCACAACAGAAGTTTCATTTGTAATCATTGGACACGAAATAAGTTTAAGTCTTTAGTAGTTTAGTAATAGAAAATCGCGTTCAAAACACTACTTGGTTTAAAATCCTCAACTATTCCGTCATTACTGTCCAGGGGTTGAATACCTCCCCATTTTGAAGGTTATTTTCCCGCATATACTCTAGGAATGAACGACGGGGGTGAGCAATCAATGCATCCATCACTTTTAACTACCGTCCAAATAATTTGTGTGTGTTTCTGTAAAATCGAATGAAAGAAGCAAGCCCAGGAGTTTGGTTTAAAAAATATACGTTTCATATTGCATTGCTGGTCCTAAAACTCGTTAAAAATTTCTTCGAAGAGGAGATTTGTGCGCTCTTTAACACGAATTCAGACTGAGAGTTTGCATTTCTTGTTCAAAGAAAAGACAAGCTGTCAGTCGAGGAATTACCTCCCGTAATTATTAAGTATAAAATTAATGATATCAATACCTTTAAACGGTCTTTATCCCGATATAGGTAACTCGTTCGCGCGATGTGGGATAATTTAAAGAGCGCCAGCGGGCATTCGAAGAGTCAAGTCCCGTTATATTCTGCAATTGTGTTTTGAGAAATATTTAATTGGATTTAATTGTAGCAAGTTTGCCGGATTTATTTATACCGGCTTCTTCAAGAGGAAACCAGTTTGAACATTACGAAGCGCCTCTGAAATTTTAAACACATTGAATGGTGGAGTAAATAATCAAGCTTTCAGAGTGCACTAAAAGAATTTTAAAAAAACGAAGAAATCCTCTACGTTATCTAGAATTCCGAAATCGAAACCTGAAAATAGTATAATAAAAATGACACTTTTTGCAAACCTCGATTGAAATTCTGCAGTATAACTTTGGAATGGATCCTTACAAGGGACTGAATCGATTTGCCATGGCGAAAAGAACAAAATACTACAGAGGAAATTCCATAGTTTTAAGAAATTTTTCGGTGAAAGTACACGTACCGTAAAATTTACAAAATTCGCATCATATTTTCTTTCGTGCTTTATATAGTTTGTATTGGTAAATCATTTCAATCCCTTTCAAAGTTTTCAAAGTTATAGGTACTGGGCTGAATTTTACTAAAAGTCTGGAAATCATCGTCCTTTTCACGTTTTTTACACCACTTAAGTAGCGACCATTGATAGATCCGTATCTCCGCAGACGGTCGCACCTCAGTGGCGTGGCGTGCTTTGCGATATATCGATTGTCCTGTCATTTAAACCTATGGTAAAGAATCTATTTTTAATGTGTTCTATGCGAACACCCTGATTATCGATCCTTTTCCATAGGTTTAAATGGCACAACAATCGATATATCGCAAAGCACGCCACGCCACTGTCGCACCTTGTTATGTTTATTTACGGTCTAAAATCAGGAGAGCTTTTCTCGACTACCTTACAACCGGGATGAGTAGCGCGACCAGGGACCGCATTCTGACCATGCCCGCCTTCATTAAAACCAGTTCAGCTCTCGACAAAAATGATATTCACTTCATCAATTTGACTGCTCGAATCTCTTTTCACTCGGATAAAGCCGTCTGCTCGTCGCCTCGTTTTCGATGACGTCCCGCGAGATCATTTTTATGACATGTTGGGGTCCAGAAATGGGCCCCAGGCATTCTCGGGATGTCTCCGTAATGACATTGACATCGCGCCGGGAACGACATCTTTTGTGAGTGTAAATGACATGCCCACGCTCTGATACCAGGGTCAGGAACAATGAATTGAATGGAATCGTAATAGGGTGTGATGCGCTGCTTCGGATAATGAGCTTTACACACTCCTTTGCCCTCTCCTATGTACGAGTGCTTCGGTTCTTAACGCTTTTTTCATAAATCTTATTCGAAATGGCTCCTTATCCGATCTTCTACGACAAGAAGTTGTGTTGTTGGGTTAGTTAAATTGAAATTTAAAATGGATCATCAGATTATGTCGGAAGCCAAGCAGTTTCATTAAGTTTTCTCCTAAAATATTTATCTCTGAAACGATTGAGCAGCTTCATCTATAAGATCTTCTACGGCCACTGAGAATTAGTCATTGAGGAAACTGAGAGCGCCGAGAAAATTTGCAAACATTTGTAAACAACCACTTGATGTTCCATTTTTGCGGACGTTTACATAAAGAGATATCAATAGAAAAACGTTTCTGATAATTAAAAACACAAAAATTTTGATAACACTATCTCACTTGCATAAATATTCGTGAAAATAAAAGGATTTCATATTCACAAATATTTACACACGCGAGTAAGTTAGTGCTTTCAAAATTTGTGTGTTTTAAAAAATTGAGAACTTGTATAGCTCTCAAATTGTGTTTCGTAGTGAAAATATCTGATTATCTGAGACGCTCGATGATCAGACTCGATATGCATATTATATTAGATAATTTGAATAAAGCTGATTCGCATCCGTTGTCGCTAATCTGGTAGAAAGGAAATACGAATAAAGAGAGGAGGAAGGAAAAGAGGAGTCTTGTAGCCGCTAATATGCGTTTTAGGCTAACTAACCGACTGCACTGCGTTTGGCGTAATGCGAGAAGTATTTATGCAATCTAGTAGGCGCTAATGCGTTCCACGCCGACCTCACTGTTTGGCGCAATGCATGAAGTATTCCTTCAGCCTTGCAGGCGCCAATATGCCTTGCGACCGCTTCTCCGCGGATCCGCTCACTTATCGGAATGCGTACGTAGTTACATGGTTGCAAAATCGGTCCGGATAATACGAAGCCGGATAATCCAGAGTCTACTTTATGGTATTTGGGAGGAGAGAAAGGAGCAAAAAAAAGTAAAGAAGAGTACGAGCGAACAGAGAAAGAAGAGCGCAAAAGACGAGGGGAAAATGTGAAGACATTAATAAAATAAGGAGATGTACATTAAAAGTAAACTAATGAGTGAATAAGGAGAAAGTAAGAAGGCCAGGAAGCAAAAGAAGAAATACAAGAGGTGGAAAAGCCACAAAGTTCCAAGTTTCAGCTCTCAACTTTTCAAGCTCGCACCGAACCCCTCCGTGGTGCATACTGAAAAAAAATCTCGGTGTATTTACTAAAAAAAGGGTAAAGTTAACGAGAATTCAGGGCTCTATTTGATCCCAGTTTTTTCTTCAAAATACCATCTATGGAATTGGTAATTTTACCGAGAAATCTCAGTAAAATTATTGAACTTTCTCGGTAATTTTACTGGATTTTTTATCGACTGTGGTAGAATTACCGAGATAAAATGGCAAAGTTACCGGGAATTGATTACCAATAAAAGTGGTATTCTTACCTGAAAGAAACAGTAAAAATACCGGTTTTTAGGTAAGCTTACCAGCCTGTCTTGGTAAAATCACTAATAATTGGTAAGAAAAAAGTTAGATGGTAAAGGTACCAACGGACCTTGGTAAAAACGCCGAGAATTTTTTTCAGTGTGAAACATCGAAACCGAAAGTAAAAGTTACCATCGTCGGCAATACCAGAGGAGCGTCCTCCGCCACGGTTACCGCGGAATCCACTCAACATTGCAATACACTCGTCATCGTCATAGCACTGACCGCGCAGAATCTCCGCCGGATTACGCAACCTCTTGCAGCTTATCCTCATCTCGAATCAGGCTCCCGCTTCTGCATGCCCCGCGAAGGTCGGCGCGCCGCTGACCCGAGCAAACCGTAAACCACTCAACCCCAACATAAACCCCATTAAAATACGCTGTTTTTGCATGACACGGCGGAGCAGGTCCCGATCACGAAGAGCTTCAGCCGACAAACGTCATTCCGCGCGTAACTCCATTTCGAGATGGACCTCAGAAAGTATGGAGTTATACGCTCGATAGAGCTCAACTTAGAATCGAGAGAGCTGCTCTTACGTCAGGAGCAAGAGGAGCGACAAATGTTGTCATTGTAATCACAATCACCCGTGCCTCCTCCGTGGGGACAAGTCCGCGGCCACCATTCTGGAAAAACGCCGTATCAGCCTTTGGACGTTGCCAAATTTCACTCGATAAACAGTGGATTTTCTAGGAGACTCGTTAATACTTCGCGTTTAATTTTTTTGATAATTTTATTCGCGATTTGATCAACATTGCCTGAAAATCGCGAGGAAAAATATGCATTATTTTCCTTAAAAATGGGCATTTTATCGAAGGAAATTTGGCAACATTCGGATGTTCATACGGCGTTCTTCCTTAGAGCGGCAGAACTGCCTTGACACCTTTGCGGATCGGATCGGATGGAGTCGCGAAACAGGTGTTAACCTTAAACGGTCGCGTCTGGGTTCCGCTTAAGGCGACCGCCACGCCTCCAGAAAAATGCAATCGCGAGTGCCTTTGCCTTTGGCGCGGCGCGCGGGACCAAGTTGGCGTGCGGCGCGCGCGTGCTTTCTCTTCTCGTCGCTCCTCTGACGTAAGGGCGTATCTCCATTCTCGCATGAGCCCCTGAAACCATGGAATTAAGTGCATTGCAAGGCTCACCTGGAGACTGAAATACGCTCTTACGGCAGAGGAGCGACGTTCTGCAGGGGAATTTTTTATCCGGAATCCTTGAACGGAGACAATGTATTTTAGAGGCCCCGAACGTATGACTGACCATGAGGATTTCACCTACCACAGAGTGCCGGAAGAATGCGTGTGAAGTAGAAAAGCTACGTGGGAAGTGTAAGAACTTATCGAAATATGGATCTTTTAGGGCTCAAATGGGCAGCTAATCGTCTAACACGAAAAATTTTACTGCCAACCTTCAAATTCCAACAAGTGTTCCTGAAAATCTAAAAATCTGACCTTTTTAAACCCGAATCGACAAACATTTCTCTAAACATTTCTCCGACAGAGTCTCCGAGGACTGAAGCGCTTTTCTTATGTGAATAGCCACAAGAAATAGATGTTAGAGATAATCACCTACATGCCCA